TATGGAGGTGGGGTCGGATGATACATTCAACCAAACCCACCATTTCAACGTTGAGCCTAGGATATCTGAGTTGATAAGCCAATGGCTTCATCCTCCGTCCTCCACTGGCGTGGGTGAAATCACGAACCGCTTGCTGAGTTGTATTCGCGATGGTTTTCTTGGCTGCTTCCAACCAAATATTCCACCGCTTGGCAAGTGCTTGCGCTGACACGGCTCCCTTCCTGTTAGGGGGTTTCGTCTTGGAAGCAGAGATCTGGGCTTGAATGGCTGGCCCAAGACTGTTGACGTCAATTGCAACGGATGATCTTGATTCCAGAATTGACGTGATCGACTGAATTCTCCTATTCCGTCCCCTTTCACGTGGTATGTCCGAATCCAAAGCGGCTCTGAGAGAGGACTCGAGGTCAGCCGAATGGGGATCTTGAGGGTTCTAAGGAGATTCGGATGTCATGTGAAAGTGAACGAAGTGATCTGGATAATTGACTTCATGGGCAGTGGGCTTCTCAACCGTGAAGTATGAGATAACACCTTCCAGTTGGAGTTGGATTCGGAGGTCACCACAAATGATGGAGTGGGATTCATTGGTTCTGTCTTCAAACGGTAGGTGCAACAGTGGCACATCGTTTACAACTAACTGGTGATGTCGTAGCTGAGCTGGACAAATGAAATTGTTCTGTAATGACTTGATAAGCAAAGATTGATTAAAGAATAAAATATAAATTTGAGATATGAGTGGGTCGTCATAAGCAACAGCCACAGTTACAATTGGTACTTCGTGTATGGTTCCAAGATCATTTGAAAACCCTTCGACGGAAATAGTCTCTCCCGTGTCATGTACCACGTAAGCACTTTCCCCAAAGTAACATGTATCGGCATGGCTGTCAAGCTCAATCCGAGATGATGGCAAATGTGTAGCAACGGATCGCAGAGTGCGAACGGCAGAGACTCATGCTCGCCGATTCATGACATTGCTAACTGCTAGATCCACCAGGAAAACAGTCCGGGATCGTTCTCTGGCTTGCAATTCCGAGACTTGGGACTGGGTATCTGACAACTGTGTCTGCAAGCTCGGCAATCTTCCGCTTTGTCACCATCGCGGGCTCCCTAGCCTGTTGCTGCTGCGCCGATGGAGCTGAGCCCACTCATCGGGATGGTAATATCTTCCTGGGTTATTGGGCTCAAAACCCCAGGCCATTCATGGTCCCACGCCCCATCTAACCACGCGGCCTCGTCCCTGACTCGGCCTCTTCCATAGCCTCGGCTTGGGATCTACCACCTCCACGTACCTCGTCCTCTTCCACCACCGCATCGACCACGGCCAGACACAGATGAAATATTTTTTGTGGGTCGAGTGGGTTAGCGAAATCAAGTTGCTCGCCTAAGTAATTCATAGCCTCCTGGAAACTCTCGTCGTAGATGCGGAGTTGCTTGAATGAGCGGACTTGGGCGGTCTTGAGGTTTTGGGTCTGTAATGCCGGACAGAAGCTTGCGAATCTTGCGGCTCTCAGTAAAGGTTATTCACCAGCGGTTCACAGATCGGTGAAGGCCTGGTAAGCCTTTCACAGTAGCGCTCAAAAAGTGAAGTTGCGGGACTTCCCATACAAAGAAAGTAGTTCAATGGCTCTATCCAGCGAATGCCTTGGTACGAGCCTGGAACGAATCACAACATGATAGTGAACCTTCATGGACAAGTAAGCTGCTCGACCTTCTGTTGCTTGCACAACGTTGGACCCATGTCAACCAGGTCCACCGTAGAGTAACCGACCGAATGATGGCCAAACAGCCTGATTGTCTTGTATGAAATGAGGTCCGGTATGTCTTGTTCTTCGGACCAATTCTTCAGGATGCGATGTGAAGCCAAAACCTGGGTCAGCCTACATCTGCGGTGTCGGTATCAAGTGCTCCTGGCAAAGTGACTTGTGATCTCGTAACATAAGCCAGAGGGGCACCGCAAACGCCTCGCTTGACTTCAGAACGTTGTCAATAGACTCCAGAACTCGCGGACATCTTCGACCTTCAAGAGTTGGGGAGATCCGCAACATCGATCTCTTCTCGTTCGGACTCGTATAAAGCCCAAACTCTATTCATCTCGCCAAACTGGCTTGGTTGGGAGTGAACTCAGCTGGATTCGTGTCATATGAAACTTGTAGAACCGTAGTTGTCTGAGTCGCTTCTCAAAGACAAATCCCAGCTGTCGTCCACGGTGGGGAACTTCTCTGGGCTGACTGCTGCGGCAGCTTCGGCGTGGCTGCAGCCGCAATGGCTGGATTGGGAATGGTACCACCTGGTTTCCTCACGTTCTCCAGATGCTCTTGATATCAGAATCGGTAAAGGTATCGAGTGAGACGAAGGCATCCAATCCTTGATCATTCAATGCTGTCCTGTGGCTAATTCGGCAATACCGATGTTATTCTGTAGATAGTTGTTCATGGCTGCAAGATTGCCTTGCCATATTCGCCTCCAATTACTTTCTTCTCTTGCGTATCACTTGGATGAGCAACAGTTGTTGGGTCTTCTTCTTCTGCTCCTATTCCAACAGACAAACTGTACACACCAGAAAGTAAGGCTGTATTCCACGGAATGAGCTCTGCACACCCATCTGTGGCAGTCTAGGCCAAAACTCTTGGATGAGGCGTCCCCTCTCCTTGGCTCAACCGGTTTCTTTGGTGACAATGAGGCAGGAATTGATCCAGACTGGAGGATCAATATTCCAAGTCCAAACCTCTGCTTCCCACTTGGAAATCTCTATCTCTCGCTCCACTTGAGAGTGCCCCTTCTTCTTGAGAGGTCTTCTGTTGCTATGCCGCTTGGAGGTCTTCTCTTCTTCTCTTGTTCCTCTGCCGATTACACTGGCAATGAGGATCTCTTCTTGTCGTTCTGTAACTCCGAAACGGTAGCTTCGAATCGGCGACAATGGCGCTGCTTCGAATGAACGAACGAATGAACCGTTTGGTTAACAGGCTCCTTCTTCTTTCTTCTTTCTTCTTCTTCTTCTTTCTTCTCGACAAGCGAACGACAGTAGCGTCGCGTCGTCTTCTTCTCGTCGTTCGAACGGTAGCTTCGAACGTATCTTCTTCGACAATGGCGCTCGTCGTCGTTCGAACGGTAGCTTCGAACGTATCTTCTTCGACAATGGCGTTCGAGCGAACGAGCGAACGACGGTAGCTCTTCGAACGTAGCTCTTCTCTTGTCTTCTTCTTGTCGCTCGCAACGCGTACCGTTCGAACGTTGCGATCGTTGAGCTGATAAGCTACCACGCCTGATAAGCCGAAAAAGGCTGATGGTGGTGATAAAGAGGTTGCTATAGAGTTGCGTGTGTGTTTACTACTTGGTTGTTGTGGTTGTGGTTGATTTTAGTAATCTGGTAACTGGATAGTCATAAATCGCTACCACAGGTCATTTTCGTTTTTGTGATTGAATCTATCGTTTTTGTGATTGATCGATTGATCTGATCTGTGACAGCGAAAGATACCGCCATTGGAAACCCCATCTCTAAACCAATTTCGTGACCAAAATGCCACGTCATTGTTGCAGAAGCAGCTGTCCTGCCGGCTGATTGTTCTTCCAATGACGATGCCGAAGAACATGAATGATGAGAGAGGGAAGCGCCATCGCCATCAAGGTCGAGATCTAAGAAAGAATCCATCACCTATTCGATCGTTAGATCTACAACCTAACCAAAGAAAGAGTAGGATGATGCACAGGATGAAGCTTGTGGCTGCTTGGTTGTCTGTGTGGCATGTCTGCACTACCAATATCTGTCATGGCTTTGTCTCACACGTTGGTACGGGTAGTATTGCCATCATCCGTAGTAGTTCCAGCTTTACTACTAGTACTACTACCGGTATATTGTACGGAACAAGTGGTGATGCCAACAGCGAGGAAGACGAAGATATGGATGTGGAACGGGAACGACAACGTCTCGAGTCTCTGCTCGGTTCTACCGGTAGCAGCAATAGTACCACCACCGATACCACCACCACCAATAAGGACAAGGAGTTGGATCTGTCATCCCTTCCCATGGACGAATGGAACCAACAAATCCGCCATCCACCCTTATTGACATCGATTGGTCGAGAACGCATGGAATTGGAAATCACATTGCTCGAATCGTTGGCGGAAAGTGACGATGCCATTCCCGAACTGTGGAATCTCTGGTACAATGCGCGTGGTGCCAGTGCCGCCAAGGAACTGTATCAAACGGAATCATTGGTCGCACAAGGACAACCGGCTGCCTGGAAACAAGCCGAAGAATTGTTGCGTCACATCATTGCCAAGGAAGGCATTCATTGGGTCGAACCCCTCAATCGATTGGCCACATTAATGTTTCTGCAGTCGCGACACGAAGAAAGCCAACAATTGTGTCAACTCGTACTGGCACTCAAACCGTGGCATTTCGGGGCACTCAGTGGTTTGGTCATGGTACAACAGGGATTGCAAAATCCACAGGGCATGGTGGATGCAGCACGACAACGCATGCCGCCGCTTCCACCCGCCAAAGGAGAAACACCACCATCACCACCACCTGGATTGGAAGATTTGGAAACACGACAACAATGGGTCGATCGCATGTTGGATTGCGCCAATGCCAGGTTGTTGCGTCAAGAAATGGGATTGGAAGAATCCTTTGCCGATTTGGATGACAAAACGAAACAGACAGACAGTAATCTCAACAACAAGGAGGATACAACCACAACCACAACAACATCACCGAAAGAAGAGGACGAAGAAGATGCATGGCAGTGATCGATGTGGACTGACTAGATGTTTTCTCGAGATGATTCCTTGTTTTTATGTACGTACGTGGCTAGTGCTAGGCACTAGCTAGAAATGTGGAAGTGGCCGTGATTATTATAAAAGTTTTTAGAATACAGTAGATTTTGAGTGTGGAAGCTTGTTCGTTGGCGCAATGACTTGGAATGTACGTAGAATCCCAACTTTCTGTATTCACCTTCAACGCCCGGCGCAGTGAACCTGGACTCATGGCGATTGTCCAGGTACAGTCCACAGGGAGAACAGGATGCCTACAAAGAGTTGAAGAATGATGCCAACAGGATGCCACCAGAGGGAAGCTGAATGTCACAACCATGAATCCACCAATCGAGATGATGTGCGGCACATGATCTACTTCCAAAATGTAGAGCGACTCTTAGACAGAGAGTTGCCAGAGAGTTGCCGTACCCAGAAGCAAACCGTGCAAGGCAGTGTCAGCTCGATGAATGATTCAACGACGATCCAAGCGATCATCAACTTCCAAAATGTAGGGCAACTCTTAGATGGAGAGTTGCCGTACCCAGAAGAAGATCTTCGCAAGGATGGCCGTTCGACGACAGATTGAGCCAAACCGTATCCTCGGGTCGACTCAGCCTTGACAGATCTATCCTTTCGACGGAGCTCAAGGAACCAAATCGACAAGCCAGCGCCGAAAGAAGATTGACAGAGATGGATCGATGCTTCCTTGTCTTGGGATGCGTTGACCCTCAATACAGTTGGGATCAAGACGCTGAAGGACCGCTCGAAGTGTTGACCTTGAACTGCCAACATTGAGAACGGTCACCGTGTCTTGATTCATCTGCTGAAGGAACCATCCACTTGTTGTTTTCATTCAAGGAACCATCGATGGAGCACATGGGCAAACAGAGAGAAGAAAGGCGAGGTACCTTCTTGCGCCAACTCATCAGACCTCCACACTGTTGGCAAACCATCAATACTCGTAAGATGAACACCTGAACACAAGGTGATTGTCCAGGTCCAATCTGCAGAGGAAAGAAAGGTGTATACATTCAACAGGGAGGGTGTTGAAGTGAAAGGATGCAAAGTGACAGCTTCGGCCAGAAATCGATCGACGTCTCCAACGACAACAGCGATGGGTGGCTTGAATGATCAAGCTGCCCCGTTGTGTGGAGGCGCCGCAGATACGCCCAACAATGAATCCAACCGAGCGGAAGCGATGAGGCCTTCCAAAATTGGATCATCAATCCTTTTTCTCTGCGACTGTCAGCGACATGTTCCATCATTGGCACATTGCACGTAGACGCAAGGGATGTCGAGATACAATCTGCAGAGGCGAGCATGATGCTGACAGAGAGAGAGAAAGGATTGGTACAATCAAACAGAAGGCATGGTGACCCTTGAAATGCAGATCCCTAAGAGGCACCTTGACGTGCACCAAGCGAGTCTTGAACGTTGAGGTTCCTGCAGGTGTTTCAGCATTGCAAAGGTTGTCAGTGCTTGAGACCGCCAGCCAATGCGACAGTCTTATTCCAAAGTCCAAAACACGGTATGATCTCGGCACAGGCAATTCATCTACGGCCGCCGAACTCATCAAGCAGGGAAATCTTGAAAAGAAAGGCCACCAGAGGTTCTGTCAGTGCTCGAGACCGCCAGTCAATGGGGAGGAAATGCCGCTATGGTCGCATGGTACCGGTAATGTCTCTCAATACAGATGAAAAGGAGACCCTAGGACCGCTCGAAGTGTTGACCTTGCACTGCCAACATTGAGAACGGTGGCCGTGCCTCCTTTCATCTGCTGAAGGAACAGCCCACGAGCCATCCCGGCGTACACTGCATGCTCCCCTTGCTGCGGTTGACACCAACGTCCGAGGAACCATCCACTTGTTGTTTTCATTCCAGGAACCATCCACGGAGAGCTCCATCTACCACACGGAGCCAAAGGAGCCAACGGAGGACCGCTCAAAGCGCTGGACAAACTTCCAACATAGAGAACGGTCACCGAGCCTCCTTTCATCCATACTGAAGAAAGAGCCACCCGTGGCATAATTGCATGATGATCAAGTTTGCATGGATGGTGGCAGAGTCAGTGAAAGTACGATGACTTTCAGGAGAATGCTTGTGGCAACCTCGGGAAAATCCAGCCCTCAGCCTCACTGCCCACACCCACATGCATGTAGCAACCATGATGTCTTGTTTGACCCTGATTAAAATGATCTTGGCAGTGACGCGTGTCGAAACCAAGAAGGTGGCTCGAAGCGTTGGTGGTGGATATCATTCCAACACAAAGAACCTCTCCAGGTGTTCGACGCGAGACGAAAGTAGACAGAGCAGCCAATAATTGACTTGACTTGGGTCTTGGGTCGTCACAAGAATTGACGAAATGGGGTGGCTCGGGGCATTGGCAATGGGTTCCAACGCCAAAGACCACTCCATACTGCATCTTGCGACGGGGCCAAAGATCTAGCAACAGGATGTGGTTAGAGAGCGACATAGCTCGATCTTCTCAGTCTGCTAGTCTGCCGGAGTACAACGGACGGGAAGGATCAGAGCATTGGCAAAGGCATTCCAACACAATGAACCGGCTCTTCCCTTGATCCAGACTACCAGCCAACAAGAGAGGACTTGTGGCACCCTCGGGAAAATCCTGTCCTCAGTCTCTGCTCGCATCCACAGCAAAGTAGCAACCATGCTGTCTTGTTTGACCCTGATTCCGATTCTCTGGACGGGCGGGGCAACGGTTGGTGCATGTCATCAACCAATGCCCAGTTCAAGAAACAAAATGAGGAACTGAGTCCACCGAGGATGGCTTCAGCAGCGGCAATGGCCAAGGTATGCCATAGCCACCGAGAGCTACCTGGACGGCCTCGTTCCTCATGCTCGCAAAGTGGCATTAGGGACAATCGAACCATACTTTACCCACGGCGCTGATCCCTACACACAAGTGATCACTTGACAACCGGGCTGGAGGCGGCGGCAATGGCGAAGGATTGCCACTGTCGTCGAGTGCAGCCGCTGAACAGGTTCCTTTGTGTGAAATGAAAGCGCCATGGTGGGATCGTCACTCCAATTCTTCGTGACCAAGATCTTCAGATGGCAATCCACTCGACAAGCCAGCCCCGAAGGAACCGGTCGAAACAAGGAACACAAGCGGACAGAACTGACGGCGCAAGGTCAACAGTTTGTTTTGATCGTGGATACCAAAGAATGCAGAGTACGGCATCCCTGAACATCAACGACAACAACAACGGTGAACCGGCTCTTCCCTTGATCCAGATGACCAGCCCAGCAAATCAATTATGGAACAGCAGGACGATCATCATCTGAATACTCAGGCAAAGTGTTCAGATGCTGATCGCCGAACTGAACCTGAGTTGAGATGAGCCTTGGCAAACCAGAAGAAAATGGGTAAGTCGAGAAGAGGCATATGCTTGGACTCCTCAGCGACTTGCTTCACGCCCCAGATTCAGCAAGGTCTTGATGCCCCATTCTCACAAAAAATGATCATGTCGTCCATGTTCAATCCAGTCTCGGTCTTCTCAGTCTGCTAGTCTGCCGGATTACGGATGGGAAGGATCAGAGCCAGTACATTGCGGTGATGTTCACTCCACTGGCCAGAACCTTGCATTCACGTAAAAATGGATACAAAAATTGACCATAGGGAGGTAACGCCACAGTGGTACCGGTGCTGTCTTGAAGAGACTCGAAGCAGATGATGCATGCAGTCAGCAATGTTGGTGTTGATCGCGGATACCAAAGAATCCAGAGTACGGCATCCGTGAACATCAACGACGACAACAACATGTCTTCAAGAGAACCAGTCAAAGCGATCAGCAGGGGACGGGAGTACACAAAGCGCCATGGTCGACTTGGAAGACTTGTTCAAGACTTGAGGGTCGCTGATCTTGGGTTGTCGATGACGGAAGTCCAACGACGAAGCACAGCGTAACGATTGGCTCCAAGCATTGGTTTGGCAATGGTTCCAACGCGAAGAGACAGTCGGGAGCGATTCTTCATCGTGAGACGGCGTCAGTCAAATGCGGCGCCATGGCTGGCTTCGAGTTCGGCGGCGGTCAAGGAAGCGCCATGGTCGGTGATTTCCTGGCGACCGATGACGAGGAATCGACCGAGGACTGGCTCAAAGCGTTGGTTTGGCAATGGTTCCAACGCAATGAGACACTCCCGAGCGACTCTTCATCATGGGGCAGCACCTTCGAGTTCGGTGTCGGTCAAGGAAGCGCGTGGTCGACTTGTTAGACTTGTTCTTGAGGGTCGCTGATCTTGCGTTGTCTGATCACGAAGATGCTCCGATGGCGAGGAGAAGCGTGAAAAGTGGCTCCAAGCGTTGGTTTGACAATGGTTCCAACGCAACGAGACACTCCCGAGCGACTCTTCATCATGGTGAGGACTTCTTCAAGAACGGAACCAGAACGCCATGGTCTGTGCTTCGAGACCGGCGCCGGGTCAAAAAGGGAACGCCATGGTCGTGATTTCCTGCCTTGCCTGCCGGCAGAGGGAGGAGGCAAGCCCTTTCTCTTTTTCCAGGTTGTCGGATTGTGAGAAAAGAAATGAATGAACTCTCGACGGAGCACAATCCATTCAACTAGTTTGGGGCGGAGCAGGAATTTGGGTTCTCCTGTAGAGCTGTGGTAGCAAATTGTGGGGTGCCTGTAGGAGCTGGTACTTCCTTTTGTGGTTCCCCCATCTTCAAACGGAACAATGGGGCAGGTTTGATTGTTTGATGGTCCCTGCCCAAGCGATGGTGGATCTTTTGCTGCAGAGAGGACTGTGGCGAAAGAGTACCGAAACAAAAAGATATGAACCGGAAGTGTGAATGGGATACGGATGGCGCTGTGACGCGATGGCTAGCTAGGAGGAACAACGATGCATCAAGGGTTCGGCAACATCGAGCCCGGTAGGGTAGCCAGACAGACTCTTCTCACCAAGCCAATAAAGGCAAAATGACGTACTAGTAGGTCGTCGATTTGGCTTGGGCTGACCAGCTTGTGAAGACGAGGTACCGGTACCGGTACGGTACGGTTTTGGTACGGTACGCACAACGGTATCATAGCAAAGCAGTTGTTGCCGTCGTTGGAGTTGGGAGCCGGTCGTTGCTGCCATCGTAGCTCCTTCATCTCCGAACTATTGTTTCGACCGTACTGGTATGCTACGGGACCAGTGTTTGCAGCTCCTTGTACCAGTAGCCAACCGCTCCGAGCCGACGCAATCTTGTTAATTCTCGAGCTCCCAGTGCTCGTCGATCGCTCGAGCAGCAACATTGGTCTCGAGTAGACTAGCAGTGCCTTTTCATGCAGGGAATTCCTTCTTTCGTTTTGTTGAGCGGTCCATACGGTAGTACGAGCGATTGAATCGAATCGAACCATGCCTTCAGTCTGGCACACGTAAACACCCACAGCACCCGCTGACATCGTTGGCTAGCTAGGCTAGGCTACCATGATGGTTCCAGCTGCCTCCTTCGATGGTTCCAGCTCCTTCGGGCTGGTGTGCACCATACCGGTAGTGTCAACTCCAGCATGCCTTTTCATTCGTCGCCGTGGTGGCTAAGTTTTCCCTCTGTCCAAGGACTGCTCGTCGTCTGCGACCTACTCAAGCGCAAGGAACTCTGAATCGGCCTACCCTGGAGAATTCGTTGCTTCGGAACGTTTTTGCACCGTACCTGTACGCGACATCTGGCGCTAACTACAGCGTAGCCAGCAAGCAATCGGGCGGTTGGTCTTCCTTGGAGTACCTCCGGGTTTTCGACTGCAATCGGAGACACATACTGGTCTTCGAGCTTGGTCTGATCTTCCCAGCAGCCTTTTGAGGCTACCGCTGCCGCTAGCTAGCTAGAGTGTACAAGTAAACATAGATGTTCCAAACCTGAGCTATTCTCTAGTTCTTATTTGATTATCAATGACATACATGAAGCCACAGGTACAGTACGCAGGGTTGCGTTCCTAGTCCATGCCAACTTGAGCCCATTCCTCTTGTGTGTGTTTTGTTTGATGTTCATAGAGCTAATGGGCAGGTCCTCTGGAGACCGGCTGCTTCTTCGCCCGTCTTTCTTTTGGTGTGCTTGAACCTGTGATTCTTCTGCCCGGTTGCCTTGTCGTCGTCGCCGAGTGCGCCATTTTCGTCTGTTTGTGTGGATCTTCTTTTTCCTACCTGCACAATGTATCTATCTATCTATCTATCTATCTATCTTATGATTGAAACGCATGACGCACCGAAGGATACCGGACAAAGGCTTCCCGTAAGTCTTGAAGTGAGATGCGTCCATCGGCATTCATATCAATCGTTTGAAACAGTTTCTGAAGAGCCGCTTCGGAGTATTCCGCCAACAAGAGATCGGGTCTCTTGACAGACTTGTGCTTCTTGGCATTGTCGGCGAACAAGCCACTGGACTTTTGTGCGACCAGTTCCATTCGCTTGACGATAAAGTGTTGCTGCAGTTCTTGGAGCGAGATGAATCCATCTCGGTTGACATCGAGGGCTTCAAAGAACTGTTTGGCTTGTTGATGGTACATCTTGATCTTGTCTGTTTTGTTGTTGCGTCGCTTGTTGTTATTATTATTATTCTTGACGACGGTCTTGGTCTGAATAGGAAATGTCACTTGTGCGGGTGGTTGCTGCTGTCGCAGCAAGTTGTGTTGCGTCATGGCGCATTCCAATTGCTTCACATCGACATGACCATGGCGAGACAACCGAGAAAAGATGGACTTGGCCACGGCATCGGTACAGACACCCGTGTCCACCAGATAGTCTCTCATTTCTTGCGCGTCGACTTTGCCATTGCCATCTTTGTCCATGCGATCAAACACGGTCGACGGGGATTCTTCGTAACTGTGGGCACGACGGACATGAGCCGCTGTGGTGACCATCGAAGCAACAGCAGTGGAAGTGGAGGGTTGTTGTGGCAAAACAACAAAGCCATTGCTGGACACAAATGACAAGGACATTGCCATGGTGGTAATTGCGTAGGAAAACTTCATCTTTCTGTCTATTCTGAGTAAGTGGATGAATGCTGTGGTTTCTTTGATCTCTTGTTGTTTTTTGTATTGTGAGACTTTCTTGCTAGCTAGCTAGCTAGTATTTGTTCTATTTCAGATCCAATCTCGTGCCTGCTGAGTGGCTTAGTTGCTTTGGTGGCCGAGTGAGTGAGAACAAACAGGTCATCAATTCCTTACTTCGGCTCGACACGACGTAGCCACCCGCTGACCAGACTGCATTGGTTACTATTTATTTTTCTGCCGGAAGCTTTCTGATGCTGACTGTGGATGCATGGTGTCTGCATGGTGTCTGCAGCATGCCGAACAAGCAAAGGCAACTGTTCTGACAAGACAACGTCAGCATGTCCAACGCAGTGAGAGAAGACAACGCACAAGAATCCGAAGGTGGCAGCAGCCCTATCCGAAGCCAAAATCGGGTGGCCAGATGGCAATCGCTGAGTCAGTCTTCAAAAGTTCTTAACCCTAATCATACACGACTCTAAGTATCCACGTTTGATGAGTCTCAGCTTCCGAATGGCATCCGGGTGAAGTTTGGTTGAGGCACCCGCATTGGCACCAGGCAATAGAAACACAACCCAATTTTCGAGATGACAAAGACGCAAACACTACCCAATGATTCTCCCATTTGGGACCAAGCAGCTGCCATGCTGCAAACGCAAGCGACCCTGGCAGAACACATGTCCACTGTCTTTCAGAGCAAGCCCACATCGGGACTCTACAAAGATGAACAACCAACACTACCCAACTTTGGCTTGTTTGTGCGACATGTCCGCAAAACACTGGCGCTCTCTCCTCGGACCGTCTTGCGGTCGGCTTTGAATCAAGCTTTGGAACGCATCCTCCAGTCCCACTCAGCTGCGATTCTGGAATTGAGTTCGTTATTGGAAATAATAGCCAACCCAATCCACATGCACCCGCTAGCCAAAGCAGTGTCATTGGCGTCACCGGGGTTGTGCCATGCTCGTCTAGTCCACGCCAGAAAAGAGTTGCAGCAGCATCAAGCAATCAACCCCGAAGATACATGTGCCAAAGTCCAGGCGAAACTCGCCAAGAACAAAACACCCCAAGAAATGGAGACGATCCTTCAGAGCGTCCGTCAAAGACACAATCAGCGAGCACTCTACTTGCAAGAACGAGTCCAGACACTTCAAATAGCATTGGCCACGGACAAAGAGTACCAAAAATATTGCCGGATACAACAACTATGGGAAATCACGGGATGCCAGAAACTATGGGATCGTTTTCTCAAGGTCGATCGGCAGCAATGCCAATTGCGAAACCATGAGGGAGACTCTTTTGAATCATCTCAACAAGAGCTCGTGTTTGCCATGACTGTTCTTTGCTTACTAGCGAATGACAATATTGACCTTGCTGCGAACAAGGAGGAATTTTCCTTTGCCTGTAATCTCCATTGGTGGGATGGCAGCAACAGCAACAACAAAGTTCCCTCGGGAGAAATTGACTTGGCAGTGTTTCACAAGGAAAAGGTAGTGGCGATTTGTGAAATGAAGTCGTCCTGCTTTCTTCTGGGCCAAGCATTTCGTCAACACGAGCAAAAGATCGCCACAATGTCCAAACAATCCACCCTAGCAATGGGAATTGGAAAGACACCGGGATGCTTGTTCAGCATCAGCAGCGCCTGCCCCAGGTTGTTTGTGGCCACCACCGCCCCCAAGCACGGTTTGCTGGGAGCCGAACCAGTCTTGTCGACGGCCATTGGAGATGGAATCCGTCATCAAGGACTCACAATTGCCAATGAAACGACCAAGGCCGCCAGTGCTCCCTTGGTAGATTTCCTTTTGGAGGAGGACGACGACGACGCCACCATGACAACGAATGCCGTCATCCAGTATTTGTGGTCCGTTTTTTCCCCAAAAGACGCCGCCGAAGTGAATTGCTCGTCGAAATGTGGGGAAGAAGATTGCCTGGATGTTGCTCAATTGGCCGAGTTTGTAAAGGGACGATTAGGGGATACACTGGGTGGTTCCCTGTCCCCAGCGGGTTGCCTCCTTAAATGGAAGAGGAACATTCTCATTTTGGATAGCTAGTTTCTTCTCCTCTTGGATAGCTAGTTACTTTCTTAGCAAACTACTGTGTGTTATGCGTCTATCAGGGTTTATTTTCTTAGCAGATTGTGTCTCGGCGGTGTGCTCCGTCCGTCCAGAGCCGTTTGTACTTCGAGGCGGGCGCAAGAATGAAATCTTGTCTGTCGGAGAAAGTGTGGCAAACGACAGTGTGTCGTCAAGCCCAGACAGCGGGCGAAAATCTCCCAGCACTCATATTAGTCGACGTCAAACTCTCCGCTGACAAACGACTCCTCCATTTGAACCTGCAGAACGCCTCCAGGGTCGTGGGAGGAGCCGTAAAGCAGGTCCGAACTGGTAAGAACGTCCGAACTGGTCCACGGAGCAAGCGATGGAAAGCTGGTCATGCTATTGTTGCAGTTGCCTCCTGTGATGGCTGGCGGAGGTGGTTCCAACGTGTAGGTTTCGACCATCGCATCGGGGTCGACGGACAAGCCCGATTCTGCTGCCACTGACGGAGAGGCGGCTGATATAATACTTGCTTCGGCGGCTGGAACTGACGACGAACTTTCGGAGACATCAATCATTTCGGTTGCATCCTCCCAGTTCAGTTCAGCGTCACCCACAATGTCGTGGAATGCTCGGGATACACGAATGTAGTTGTCGGGGGCAGTTTGTTCCATCCGCAGCGCCACGAACACGTCATCTCCGAAACAATTGAGTTTGGGGATATTTTGTCCAAGCACGCCGTACTTCACACTGCCAATATGAATTCCCGCTCGGAGCCGAAGCGTTTCGGCTTCCAACGCATCATCGTCGCTGGCTACCCTGGGCGGTATCTGAATGGCCTGACCCTCGGACAACATTTCCTTCGTCATTTCTAGTGCGTCGATGGCTGCTTTTCTATCTCTAGAATTGGCACTTTCTCCAGCCTGTTCCTCGTCGTTTTCGCCCGTGAACAAACCGGACATGATCACTATTTTGCTTCCAATGGCCTCGACTTTAATTGTTTGGTGTTTTTCGCACAGTCGGTCCACAGTGAAGAGCAGCTTGGCAAGGATATCCATGATTGGCCCAACCCGGAGATCCAAAGCCATTTGTTGGAAATTCACAACCGAGAGCACCATAATTGACACGTACGGCTTGTGGCCAGCATACAAAGCCTGCACGTCCTTGATTCCTCCAATGAGCGAGCTATTGATGTATTTTACGTTGCTCTGGCTTGTCAAGTACGACACGTCTTGGCTCAAAGCGCTGATTTTGGCTGTTCCGGTTTGTTGCGACAGATCGTCAAGGTGCATTGATTCATCGTCCATGTACATGGTTCGCCAGCTCTGATCAAAAGTGTCCACACTCATGCCTCCGCTGACACTCAAATTGCCATGTAGGGAACGAAGCGAATCAAGGCGGGGAACTCCTCTTCTGCCAAATCGACCAGAGTCCATTCGCATCAAATTGCCTCTCTTCGCAGAATCCATTCTCATGAGTGCACCACCCCGTGCGGAGTTTGCTCGCATCATCATCATGTCCCGTTTGGAACCCATGCGCGAGAATATTGGACGTGTGGCTCCAGCACGGTTGGTGACGGATCCTTGTCGATGGAGGCCACGAATGACGGGAGGATTCAAATTATTGGTGCTGTTGTTATTGTTGTTGTTGTTGTTGTTCTCAACTTCGCTTTTAGCTCTCTGCGGGGTAGATCGAGCCTGGGGATTTGCAGGTTGTTGCGGAGCAGTCTGGGTGCTGGCGCTTCGTTCTGGCAACTTTTTGTTGCCTTTCTTGTTTCTGTTGAGTTTTTCTTCCGGCACACTCAAGAGGCCAAATTCCGATTCCGCCGTTTGTGCCCCGGTGGCAATCGTGCTGGCACTATCAATCGACGGAACGCCTCCCACTAATAAACCATACCGACTGTGCACGCTCCCAGATATACTGCTGTCGTCAACACTAATTCCGCCCATCACTGGTACGACGGATGGCTTGGGAAGAAAGAATTGCTGCCGCAGGGGTGTTTTCCATTGCTGGGGCTGCATCTTTAGCTTGCATACCGCCATGGGGGGTAAGATTCCATGAATCATATCGCTGTGCCTTCTCAAGGATTCTCGCAGCTTCCCTTGCACATCCTGAAACGATTTGGATACGGTGGATAATTGTTCCAAGCGTGCCTTGTGCTGAAGCAGGTCTTGCAATAGGGTTGTGACGGAAGGTACCCACCGTTCTTGAAATACTTTGCTTCCGAAATTGGGCAGTTTGTCGTGTTCTTGAGAGTTGCTATTGTTGTCGTCTGCCTTGTTGGTGGATGCCAAGACGAAAATGAACCTGAGCTTGTCCATGCTTGAATAGAATATGGGGATCGCCACGAGTTGTTGCCATTTTTCCGGGAGCAATGCCGTGGACGGTTTGGGTGTTGATGTTGCTTTGGTGGTTCCTTTGTTGTTGTCATTGCTGTTGACTTCCTTAGAATTATCGTCTCGGCTGTTGGCTGTAGTATTATGGTTGAGGGGCGGGCGGCGTCGATCTCGTTTTCGATCCTGAAAGGTGAGCGGTCGTTTCAGATCGAGACACTTTTTCAGCAGATCTTGGACAGCCCACAGATGGATTTCTCCATCATCGTCGTCATCGTCACTATCACTATCGTACGAAAAACCTTCATCGTCGAGAAAGGTTGTCACTGCCAATTTGTGTTCCATGGTGGGCCTTCGTGTGGGGCGTCGTGGAGCTGGAGAATGAGTACTGGAATGCGACGATGCTGTGGCGAGGATTGCTTCTTGTTCCGCCGTAGTAAGGTTGTTTAACAAGTTTCGTTCACTGGTCATTCGTCTCGGTAGCGAAGGGGGCAGCATGACGGATCGTTGCTGTGGTGTGAGGACTGCGTTTGCCCTTCGTTTTTCGGCCCTCTTTTTCCGCCTCCGCCGTTGTCGCCGTCTCTTTTCCTTGAGCTTTTCGTTCTCGTCGTCAGGGTTGTTGCTGTCTTTTTTCTTTTTGTAGGGGAGTACAACTCGACGTTTGACATCATCCGCTATTCGTTCCAATTCGGCTCTGGATTTCATTTTGAGGATGACTTGGGCCGTTTTTTTGGGCGACGAACTACTTTCTCCTGGCTTGCGGTATATCAATTTGAATAGATTTCGTTTGGCGCCCTTGGGTGTGAGTTGATATTTCTCGACCTTGTCCCAATATACCTCCATGTAGTTGTAGGAAAGACTGGCCTGACTGATATCTCCACAGTGATGTTCACTATTGTCTTCGTCTTCCCCTTCGTGTAGCATGTCGAGAGGATTGACGGGTTCAAATCGTAGCTGATCCATCATGAGAGTGACACTTCCCGGAATATCCTTATAATGTACCGGTCCATACGTGGTAATGGGCTGGGGTGTTCGATGGAGGGGGTCGTGGCGTCGGCGTTCCGAAGAATCCATGGAATCATCATCCCCCGTGCTATAATAGTCGGTATCATTATCCAAATCCGAGGAGAAATCACTATGGTCATTGTCGTCGTCATCATCGTACATGGGTACATTGACGGCTGCAAACTGACGACCAATTTTCATGGTCTTGAGATAATCTTCGATATCCGAGTGATCGAGTTCACTGACATCGTTCATATCCGTTTTAGGTTGTTCCGGCGGTTTGATCTCTTCTTCTTCTTCCACCGCCGCCAGGAATCCATAGTCGGTACCCGACCAAGATAGGACGGAATCTACAAGTTCCCGAAGCGCAATATTGGCTGGATTTCGGTCAAAGGTGGAATTTCTCTTTTCTTCCACTTCCTCCTCTAGTTCGTAGTCTTCTTCTTCCAGGATATCCTGAATATCCGAGTCCTGAATGCGTTCCAAAAAGTCCTTCTTGACCGTCTGAAGGCTCTCGATCAGGTCCAAATGGTGCTGCATTTCAGACTTGGGAGGTTCTTCAGCCTTTGGTTCAGCCACTTCAGCCTTAGGTTCAGCCTTAAGTTCAGACTTAGGTTCAGACTTAGGTTCAGGTTCCTCATCTGTGTTTTCGGACTGCTGCAAGTTGTGGCTGTTGCTCTCTTCTCTCATCTCACTGATGCCAAGGTCCTTCTTTTCTTCCTCTGGCTCTTCAGGAGGAGCTTCTGCTTCTTCCACGGCCAAACTTAGCCTGGAAAGCAGCTGATCTTTCCCGTGCTTCCAGACCCAGTCGCCCAAACTCTCCTTGGTGACTTTGCCATTGCACAGCTCAGGATCGTCTGGGAGATCCAGAGCCCATGCACCAACGTCCACCTGGATGCGGACTCTCATCACACCTGCTAGTATACCCAAGACGTGCTACTACACGATGGAAAGCAGCGAGAATGCTACCCAAGTCTCAAGACCCGCTCTCTCTCACTTCGCCGAGTCAATCAATCAACCGGAGATTCCTGATGCTACCCTCCCAACAGACTGGCTTCGTAGAACTAAGCTGTTTGGTCGCTCCACTAGGTTTAATGGTTAGCCAATACTGGATGTTACCTCAATAGCATGGCAAGGCTGGATAATACCTTTCCTGCTTTTGTACTTCTTGGCTGTGTCTGTCTTTCCTACTACTTTAGCAAAATACGACTGTACTCTTTTCTGAGAAGCAAAATTGCCGGGCGCTGCCTTCTTTCGATCGGCAAACAGACTACCGTAAGGCGCGGAGCCAGCCCTTCTTTTTGCACTTTTGGATCGGTGGTAAGGTCATTCTCGCGAGAGCTCGGTCATTAAGGCGAAAGTTTACGAGCAATACCCCCAGCTGTTTTCATTTCTATTCCTCTTTTACAAGATCTCCATAGTCTTTGCTCCCTTCTCAGACCTGAAGTCAATTTACTGTTTACTGTATGTACGCCTCTGCATCTGCTGAGTTGTTCTACGCGATCTGCTCTTCTTTTAGCACTTATTGCTGTACAGTCTTTCGTCTTGAACAAGTGCCGGGACCATGGAACCAATATATCCTACTTGAATGGGACTGCTTTCGATCGAACCCAAAAACGGCCATCATGTCCAAGGCAAAAGCTGATTGAACCGGTACAGCTCCGGTACTCCAGACAGCTCCCTGGCAGAGGAAAATAAATGCGAGGAACCCCAAATTTGGTGATGGTCGAAGGTCCAAGCCACTGGTACCAGAGCTTGGAACTTGTGAACGGTTCCCATGTCAATTTTGCTTTGAAGGTGCAGGGCTCTGAATCTCCCAGACCATCCTGAGCTCTGCAATGGCAAAGTCACCAAGGAGAGTTTGGGTGAATGGGTCTGGAAGCAGGGGAAAGATCAGTTGCTTTCCTGGCTAAGTTTGGCCCTGGAAGAAGTAGAATCCCTGCCTGATGAGCCAGAGGAAGAAAAGAAGGACCTTGGCGGAAGAAATCATAGCAAACCGCCACTTTTTCGGGCTCCCGCACTACAATATCTTCTTCGAGCCTTTCCCTCCCCCATCCCAGTGTTCAATGACACAAGCAACAGCTAGCTAAGCAAAGGTCCAACCGCAAGCAAACCATGCATTCGAAGAAACCACATGTACTGTTTAACGAACTGGCTAGCGTTACTATTTACCCCACGCAGGTTTATCTTGTTTTCGTCCCTGGTTTTGTAAGGCGGGGCTGTCCATTCGCTGATTAGAAAACTGGTGTGACCTCCTTCAGTCGTTGCTTCTACCAGCTAGTATGGTTCTATTACAGCCAGCGAAGTCTTTTCGCAACGCACTCAATCTGTTTCACAGCTCCTCCAGTCGTTTCAACGGGAAGGACTTCTCTGTGGCCGGGATGGGTTTGTCGGGGCTCTTTCGATCACCAATGATGTTTCCATGTATGTGTTCCAGCTAACCCATCTGCAAATGTCAGAAACGTCAATCCCGACCTAGTTGCCACAGGCTACTATTCTTGGCAATCGACCGGGTCAGAGTAGCAACCGACGAGATGCTTGATAAAGAACTCCTTCAGAAGATCAATGCAACTTGGTCCTGGCAAAGAGATTCCTCCACTTGTTGTAGCTGGAATGTCGAAGGCCTCGTCGTTTGCAACTGGCTGCCGATATGATGGCATTTGGTTGTTGTGCATCGCCAGTGTGTTCTGTCAGCAACATTTTCCAATCATCATCTTGCCGGTAGATGCGGGCACAGCTCATGGCGTCTCGTGCTGCCAAGAGTTCGGCTTGAGAACGAGCGCGTTTGCTTGCCCTACAAGAGTACTTGCGAAGCCGATCCTGATCCACGAGACCTTTTGACTGTTGCTTGCTCTGCACTCTTAGGAGTCCTTGTACGTAGGCACCGTACTCTTGGCGTCGCGAAAACGTTGTTGAAATGCGTTGCTGAAGGAGATTTTCCAAACCTCGCAGACAAATATCGCCCGTGGGATCTTGGCCCCTGTTGGTAATGATCTGATTCACTTGCTGTTCCATGCTTATTCGAATTGCATCGATCTCCTTGGGTTGGTACCAAAGCGTGGCTTTCAACTCTGATGTAGTAATCTCATATCCAGGCTCGGAATACTCCAAATGGGGAACAAAGGATACTTTGGAGGGCATGGTTGGAAAGGTTGTTGTTGAATTTGTGGGATACTTGGCTACAGCAGCTACAATTGTGGCACAAACACACATCCACAGACAAGCCTTCAGTGCATTTTCTGCCTGGTCAACACCTCCTGCAAATGTTGCTCGGCTCGGAACAAAGAAGGCCGTGAGTTGAACATGGGTATAAAATACATGGAATGTGAACGGGAGCAGAGCGGAGTCGAGGCGAGTCGAGTCCAGTCAAGTCGTAACTTGTTCTACAAGTTACTCCCAGAGCGCTACTGGTACTCGAGTAATGACATACTAGCTAGTACTGGATCCTGCTTAGCCGTTGGTACCGGTACCTCTAAACAACAAAGGGAAGATATTACACCAATGTTAAGTTTGAAGCTGCTTCGGAAGCAGGGTTGTTAAATACTAAGTTACACTAGACTAGAACCAGTTTTAATGCAGGATCCGGGAGTTCTTAGATATTCCGCGACCAAGGTTGCTCACATCAGGACTGGGATCCTGTGCTTGCTTGGATGTTCGGCTGGAGGTGGTACGCCACACGCCACCACGCCACCGCCCTTCATTTCAATGGTGCGGTCCGAAAGAGACACGCCAACACCTGTACGGTACTAATACCGGGGTGACGGGGGAATTGCTATGGTAGAAAACTCAACGCAGAATATGACATAGGCTACTAATAGTCGATATGTGGTTGTGGGTGACTGCCTGAATGGGGAAGGCAGGGTTGTCAACGATGGGCTTATCCAGCTGGGCTTATCTAAGCCAAGCTAGTTGAAGCCACGGTGAGATTGTCTATGCTAAGCAAGTCTAAGCTAAGCTAGTCCACAGATTCAATTTACTATACACAATTTAGTACTTTTTGTCCCTGTAGCTTAGATAAGATAAGCATAGCCTGGCTTAGATAAGCCCAGCTTAGCTTAGACAAGCCAAGCATAGAGTAGATTGACATACGGGTAGACAAGGTTAATAAGAAAGATAGGCTTGGCCCCAGCCATCGTTACAAAGCCTCTATGAATCTTCATGGGCTTTGCATTGATGTCCACCGGAATTCCACCATAGTAATTCCCCTGTCACCCGGTAGTCTAGGGAGGTTGTACGGTATTTTTACAGTAGTCTACAGTAATATAAAAGTAATTTCAGATTTGCCAGTACCGTTTCAAATTTGTTGGTTGATTTCAGATTTTCCAGCACCGTTTCAAAGTTGTCGGTTCAAATTGAGTCCCGCGAAAACGACGCTGCGACGTCGCTGCGACGTCGCTGCGACGTCGCTGCGTCGCTTTCGTGGGACTAAAATCGAATCGAATCGTGACTGCTCCCAATTTGGAGTCGAGTCGAGTCGGGCAGTGGTACGTACTCGCTGGCTGGAGTGGGAAACCTTTCTCTGGAATCTCCCCGTCTCGCAGTAGCTGCAGTTAGTGTGCAAGCAGGAACTGTCTCCGAGGCTACGTCGAGGCTGGATGCATTCTGTTGAAGCGCAGACCTGGTGGAGCAAGTGCGATGATTTTAAAAGGTGCCAGTGCGGGTCCACACACTGAGCATCCAGGAACACTGAAGCAAAGCACACCTTTGGAAGAGGGCATCATACCGTCACTTCCAACCCGAAGTTGGCTTCAGGCGGACGTGGCAGCTTTGCTTTCACAGCTCAGCAGGTTAGGCAGGATAGGGTTGCAGCTATTCGATTGAATCATTCGATTGAGTCCTCAGCCAGTCATTCGACGATTGAATCGAATCGTCTTGATGAAGTGAAGGTTCGCTTTAACAACGAGCCGTCTTGCTGGCTTCAAAGAAGGGTTCGCTTCGATCTTCCCGCCCGATGAGGTTCGCATCTCTCTGGGAAAGTGCTGAGGCTTCACACTTTCGCTCAAAGATACACAACCTTGACAACATCATCACATCATCAGAACACACGAAACCATACAACAGAAACGTATATATCGACCATGACATTTGTTTGCCTCGCCACTCGAGCTTTGAGTCGCCGCTCCGCCGCGTTGACTCGCATCTCCTTTGTCCGTGGGTTTTCGGCCAAGGCAGCGGGTGAGAACCCCGAAGGTCCCATGTTGGGAGGATACGAAGAGTTCCTGGATGACCTCAAGACCAAGACGGACAAGATGGAAGCCTCTCTGGGCAATCTGAAGGACACGTACGGGAAGAAACAAGAAATGATGAATACCGTCAAGTGGACGGATCCCGAGGAAATGGAATACTTGTTTGACATGTCCCGTCGTCACAAACAAGAAATGGAAGAACAACTGGTGGATATCAAGAAGAGCATCCAAGCCATGAAGACCAATTTTGCCGTCGATGCTCCCGATGGAGAGAGTGATGGACATGTGGAGGAAGAGTTGGAAGCTGTCAAATTCATTATTGATCACACGGACAGAGACAACAAGAACAAGAAGGCTGCTTGAGGTGATTTTGGAACCTCTATTGAAGGCTTATTGAAGCATTGAGAAATCTTACAAAAAGATTCATTTTATCTATTTTTGCGAAAGAAACTAGCTGCCCAACTTTTTAAACATACATTAATATGCAAGGTATCAAAACATGCTCCAAAGAACTCAATCGAGTCTTCTTCTTGCCGGTGGGCCTCATCAATGAATGCAATACTAGTAGCAGGAAGCACAGCGCGATCCTGGTTCACTTTAGTCCCAGGAAACCAGTGTCATGTCACTACAGTGCGGTGGACTCCAACCAATAAAAGTTACATGAACATGGTTGCCAAGCTTGACACCAACGTTCGGCTTCCACAGAGACGATCTTGCTAGCTTGGCAGTGAACAACAGCTCTCAAGTCTGTCTGACACTTGGTTAGATTGAATCCCAAACCTGCTCCCCCCCCCTGCAATTGAACGCACCACTACCCTCCCGGAATGTTGGATAGAAGTTAACTTAAGCAAGGTGCCAAACAACTTGCTTGGTCAGGGACTCCTCAGGACCGTCTCTTCCGTCCAAGGGCCTCTGCACTCCAGTGTCGAATGCTTGTATTTGGTTAAGCCTTTGAATACCGCTCTTAAGTTGTGAGCATTACGAAGCAAAAGATTTGGCACGTCTCAAAAGATCTTCCGCAATCATTACGCGAAGATTCCAGAGGAGTTTGGTTCCCTCAAACCCACCACCCTCTTCTTGTTGATGTTTCACGGCACCACATACATCTTACTTTCTCATACTCTGATGTCTACATGTACACCTAATTGCGGTTGTGCAGTTTGTGAAGGAACTGAGGAAGCGCAGCAATGATGAGAAGCCAAGCTCTCAAAATCGCTCTTGGACGAACTTCGAGACCAGGAGGTCAAGTCGGCATCTCCCATTCGATGCGTCGACAATTGGCCACTGGCAGTGGCTCGACGTTGGGTTACGAACCAAACTATTCCCACATGCCCAAATTTGAACCCAAAGACAACCAATCCACTCCTGGTGTGGATACTGCTCTGCATGAATCTTCTTCTTGGTCGACGGATGCCTTGAATACTGCCATTCGCGACCACAGTGTCTTTACTTGGGGACCCTCCGATGCCATTCGAAAATCCTGCGTGTTGGCCAAACGAGCCGAAGGCGTGTACATTTACGATCAAGACGACAAGCAATATCTTGATTGGTGTGCCGGTGCCGTCTGCTCGAATCTCGGCCATTCGGTACCCGCGGAAATTCAACACGCCATTCAAAAACAGGTCCAAGAATTGCCATTTGTCTATGGAGACTTTTACGTCTCGGAAATACGAGCGAGACTCTGTCATTTGCTCGCTCAAATCAGTCCGGGCAGTATTAATGGATTTCTCTTTGCGTCGTCGGGATCCGAAGCCAATGAAGCCGCCATTCGGTTGGCCCGTCGGTATACCGGTCGACACAAGATTATGAGTCGATCTCGATCGTACCATGGTGGCACTTCCTCGGCATTGGGTATTACGGGAGATCCCCGAACCTGGGCGGTCGATGCCACTATCTCTGGATTTGTCAAGATTATCGATCCTTTTCCATTCACATTTGATTGGGGTAGCAACGAAGAGGAAATGGTGGAACGGAGCCTGGGAGCCTTGCATCATCAAATTCTGACCGAAGGACCCCAACAAATTGCTGCCATTGTCTTGGAATCCATTACCGGTGCCAATGGGTGGATGATGACACCTCCTGCCTACATGCAAGGCGTTCGAGCCCTCTGCGATGAATATGGAATCCTCTTGGTCTGCGATGAGGTCATGACTGGATTTGGCCGTTCCGGACGCATGTTTGGTTTTCAACATTTTGACGGTGTCCTTCCGGACATGTACACATTTGCCAAGGGCACCACCGCCGCGTTCTTGCCACTGTCGGGTGTGGCCATGCAAGATCACGTCTTTGACTATTTCCGAGAGAATCCCACCGGCTACGGTTCCACGTACTCGGCACATCCGGTCTGTTGCGCGGCCGCCTATGCCACACTGCAACACATCCTCCAAATCGACTTGGTGGAACACGTTCGATCGGTCGAACCCGTCATGAAGGCTGGTCTGGAACGGTTGGTGGCCAAGCATCCATCCGTCAAGGCGGCCCGGACCACTGGATTGGGAGGTGGATTTGATCTGGCCGGAAAGGATGGCAACTTTTTGATCTGGATGCATGAAACAAGTCCGGGTCTGGCACTCTTCAAACAGGCCATGATGGACAATGGATTGGTGACGCTGATTCGAGGACATCATGTGCATTGTACTCCGCCACTCATTATTACAGCGGAGGAGGTAAGGATAGCTACCAAGATGGCTGATTGAGTTTGCTCGTTGTGATGTCTTCTCACAAACTACCCCGCTGCCCTGGTTTGCGATAGATCGAAGAGGGCATTGAAAAGCTGGACAAGAGTCTGGATGTCCTGGATGAGTGGATTATGGCCAACTGAGTGGAAGATTTTTCAGTACCGTATGTTTCCGTTTCTCTTCGAACAGCTACTATGACGTCGATCTCTTTTAAAAAGCTGAAGGAAGGAATGAAGGAACGAACGAAAATTGATAGAGAGAAAATCAATCATTGTTGTTATCATGCATCCTAGAATTACAGCCAAAACTGCCTGCAAATAATTGAGGCACGTGCCAGCCAATGTGGATAGACTTCCCAAATGAAAGGAGCAATCAACATCAAGAAGGCTTCATGTGTTGGCACAGTAACATGTTCGACAGCTACTGGCTAGCTAGCCAGCCAACTCGCCATAACCCCAGTTGCTCTATGTAGTTATTGTTACAACACTCTATTGTTGTCTGTGCTGGTCGAGTTCGTTCCAGCACACTTGATTGATCCCACGATTAGTAGACGATTCCAAAAAGATTGTTGCCATTTCATTCATTCATTCATTCATTCATTCATTCTAATCTTCAAACAAGGTTTGATATTCGAGCAACAATCGGTACATGTAACATCGCATATCTTGTCTCCGCAAGAATTTGGAGGCGGTTTGTTGGGCATGTTGTGTAATTTTGGCGGCATCTTGTGGATGTGCATGAGCCCATTGAATTTTTTGTGTCAAATCGGTGAGATTGTAATTGACGGGAACATAGTCGACGTACGGTCGCAACCGTTCGGTGTACCATTCTCGATATCGCGTGGATTTGAAAATGAGAGACCCGGATTTGAGTAATCCGGGGAAACGAGACGTAAAGGCTGTAAGTAGGTGTGTACAGAAGCGAAGAGAAACGAAACACAAAGAGTGAGACATTATCATGAAGAATGAATGAAAGAGTGAATTGTGTTGTGGATTGGACAACATTCGAGGATCGATTCAACGACGCACCATTCCCATCGACATCCATAATGTACTTGTGTTGTTGCAACTCGTGGAATTCCAATCGATCCCCAGTTCGACTTCTTGGTGCTAATGTTTGTCCCGCGTCATTTTGCATGACATTGACAAACGCCAAATCCATCATGACAGGTACTTGATCGGAGAGCTGGTAAGCGGCATCCGTGCCCCCACTGTATTCTCTAATGAGTCGAAACCGTGGAGATTCTCCCCAGACACTTCCCGTGGTGGATCCTCTCCAGACGAGACTCTCTTGACGTTGTGAAAATGGTAGAGTATTGTCGGATTGTATTATTATTGAATCGGCACTGTCGTATCCAAAATGATAGGGTACCATGATATCTCTGGATTCAAAGGCGGCCCAATCGTGATAATCGGGATGATTGGACAAGTAGTGGTGTTGTCCCTTGAAGGAATCAAAATTGATGTTGTATGTTGGTGGCTGTTTGCTTTCGGTCCAATAGCCTTGTTTGCAGACACTGAAAATGGGTCGTTTCGTGGTATCTTTCGCGGGCGTGGCGCCATCGTGTAGATTGAAAAAGTAAGTGGCATCCAATTTGGGCTCGTGCACTCGAATGGGTTCTAGAATCCATCGTAACAATTGTTCAATTTGTCGTTGTTCTCGATCGTTATTCCCGGCATTGCGACTGGCAATGACTTGTAGTTGATGATGTTGGAGTTTGAACGCCATGTAATTGTCGGTTTGATCCAATCCAGTGGGAACAATGTCGGCTCGGCGGAATTTTTTGTGTCCTTCTTTTTGAATGATGGAGCGAAAGAAAGCCAAATCGTCGTCCATGTCTTGATAAAAGTCTCGTTCACTGCATTGATGCATTCGGGCAAATGCCAACCAGGATCGCATTCCAGGAGGAGTCTCTGGTCGTCCAAAGCGACCTTGATAGTCTTGTTGAAAGTCGTTCCAATCAGAGTCACCAATCAAGGAGGGATTCAAGGGAGCGGGTGGAGGAGTGGGAAGCGCAATCCAAAATTGCGATTGCAACCAACTGGAAAACCCAATCAGACAGCCCATGCAAAATATCATTAGCAGCATCAATCGGTTGGGTGGACTACTATGGGTATTAGCAACACTATGCGTAGCACGCCCACCACCACCCAGAAACCCGAAATGCCGTCGTTTCTTCTCCTTGTACAAATTCACTGGCGTCATCTTGGATAACTAGTGACTGTAGACTAGTTGGATAGTTAGTAGTACTCACAGAAACATAAGATCAGACAAACAAGTGCAATACCATGAGCCTTCAGTCCGTTGTTCTGGCTGGAGGCAACCAAGAAAGATACCAAATATAAAGATGCGTGCGAGTCCAATCGCGCTTCCTTCCACCCCTTTGTTGTTTCCGTGGATGGCATGCTTGCCCCTCAAGCCAAGACTCTCTTACAACGCCTTGCTTCTGCTACTGCCTCCAAAACTCAATTTTCCTACTCTCAAATGATGTTCTTCCTGCAGACCCGTATCTCAATTGCCCTTGTGAAAGCTACCCATTTATGTCTCCGTGGATCCCGCAAAGCCAAACCCTTTGCCCCCCGTAATGGTCCTCAATTTCTTGCCCCTGATCCCACAGAACCTAGTCCTGAATTTTGACTGTTCTTTGCTTAAGCCTGGCCCCGGCTGGCTTCCGTAGATAATTTCCCTACTCTAAACCCCCCTTATATAGAAAGATACCCCAAGCCATAACTCCAGCCGAAGCCAGCGAAGCTTGCAAAGGAAAGTATTGAATCGAATCACTACCGGTAGTCAAAGTCCAGAAGGCATAGCTGACGTCAGCTGCATCCCGAGCCAGCACTCTTTTCTCTTTTCCAACATCTCGAGCTGGACCTCGTAGCATGCAAAGCAGTTGCTGCGACAGAACCTTTGTCTTCGGCACTACGATCCAGCTAGAGACAGCCAAGAAGAAGCAACTGTGTCATTCAAGTTGGCATGGTTGTATTGGTTAGAGCGGCATGAACGGACTGACACCAAATAGCTGCTCTTATCTGATTATAGTTATTTTGCTTGCAGCATGTGTAAGTCTTCTTTTCCTCTCATCAATCTTTTAGAAATATCTGATTGAATTCTAACTTTCCTGTCATTTCTTCTACTAGTTAATCGTCCAAGGCATTGCGTCTATAAACTGTCGTTTTGTGGTGTCCACGACAAGTCAAGGTCCTAACGGTCCCATGTTGGGATTGTGGTATCTGGATCCTGGCTATCGGGCGTGCAACACCAATGAAGTTTATGTGCCTCGCACGGGACTTTCTGTGTTCGGTAGCACCGTGGATCAACTCAATGTCGATCGCATCCTCGTCCGCACGGCACGAACCATGTACTGTCTGTCAATGCTCGCTACCTTTATGGCCATGGTGATCATCCTGTCGACCACCTGCTGTGGTCGACCTCGCAATACATTTTACACCAAATGCTACCTGATTCCCATCTTTTCCGTGGCGTGGATTGCGGGAGGATTGACGTTCCTGATCTTTGCCGTCAGTGGCTGTTGGGAAGGATTTGACTGGAACACTGGTGCGTACCGATGTACACCGGGACATTTGGCGTGGCTATCGTGCAGTGTTTCCTCCATGGTGTTTTTGTTGCAATTCGTCGTCTGCTGTCTGCCCCGACCCAAACCAATCTTGGCACCGGAACCAGACGCACCACCGGTACCGGAAATCAAATATCACGAACCCATTCTGGTAGAACGGGAAGAATCCAACAATGATAGTATCAGTATCATTCAAAATCAGCAACATGGCATGGAAGATAGTGATCAGGAGCAAAATAGTGAGGACGAAGAAACACCCAAACAACAACAACAATCCACTGAAAGCAACAGTACTACTCCACCAAAGAAAATTCAAATTGATCCACCCATGGGATGGAAATCATCCACAACACCATCCGCAACAACAACAACAACCCCATTGGTTCCCGTTCCACACAAAAAAGCGGATCCAAAGGGAATCACAGCCAAGGAGCTACCACGATGATAATGGTATCTCGTTGTCGAGTTCTTGCTCGTCGTTGCCCTCAACGACAAAACCACAGCGGATTTGGCTGAAATTATAAAATATGCAAACCATTGGCAGATTCGAGCGATACCATGCAGTCGCAATACGGTACATGGATGGTGCCTGCCCAAGTTACATCGTGTATGTCGAAGAACCACCCTCGATTATGGCTCTTCGCCGCCATGATCTCTTGCTAGCTTGGGGAATGAGACGGCATGTGGTCGGGGAAACAAGAAAGTCGGCCCTAGGTACAGTACATGTACGGTAGGATCCGCTCTACATGGAGACTCCAATGCATTTCATGATTTCGGCCCGAAGCAAGCAAAACGTATAGGTACTGGAGTAAGATTCGTCACTATCAAATTCTTTTTGCAAGATGCTGCAGCGTATCTAATAAGCAAAAAGTGCAATCATATCCATCAAACGAACACGATAAATCAGGAGGCAATCAATCAATCAATCGATCGATGATGTCTGGCTCTTGGCGCGAGAGCGAAGAGCAAACACCAAACCAAAAACAAGGACTGAATGAACCGGGCTTTCGACGAGTGTTGCTTCTTCACAGCTTGAGGAAAGGCACCGAAACAATGCTCGTTTCGTTGCACCACCAGGCCCGTACGTTCTATTGCGTTGGTGCCCCAATTGCATGGTGACAAACAAACAATTTTAAAAGAAGAGATGCAATGACCAACAAATTCTTCGCCTTCCACATACAGCACGTTTTTTCTTTGGCCAAGCAATGATGGATTGGTCCATTCCAGATTCCAAGTACGAACGAAAACGAGGCATGAACCAATAGGCTCATGGACCGTGATTATCAAATCGAGCTACGATCCAAGCATCATCGTGTCGTTCCGTGTCATCATGGGCTTTTCGAGGATGGGAATTACCTTGGGTACGGTGGATGCAAACTCAATTCGTCGACCAGCATTGTTTTTCTAGCTAGGCGCCTTTACCATCAAACCGGAATGTTCTCTGGATGAGTGCCAGTCCTACCGGTACGGTATAGAGCCCCAACAAGGCATCAATCCATGGATGTTGTGAGTCCTCCGCTACGGTACGTTTTAGCTAGCTGTAATAGCTAGCTCCTCGAGTACTGTGTTCTTGCGAGTGAGTTGTGATGTTCAAGATTGATGGACTGCTTTGGGACGAGGACAAGCGCCTGATGATCATGAGGTCAAATCAGAGCTCCGTGGCGACTACGGTAGACTACTGTTAGTTAGAGTTTGGATAGCTCCGTACGTACCGTACCGTACGGCATTGGCTGCCCATACCAAAAACGCAGTGGTGTGAATGAGCGGTACAGTAGGGTACAGTACAGCAAGTCATCTGCGCCTTTGAAGCCGGAGAACAATTTTCGGGAAAGAGTATACTACCGTAGCTACTAGAGGAGAGATACGGTAGTTTGATCAATACTTGTACATGATAGACTGCTTACATGATAGAAACAAGGGCCGGTTCTTCCGTTCCGAAAATGAGTGAAATTGTGAGGTCGAACCGCCCCAAAACCAAAACATGTTGAAGATTGTTCATGAATCTTGTGAACGCATCATATCATGGCATTACATGTATTTGACAGCTGTCTGTTTCGCTTGGAGTGAATGAGTGAATGACGATTGATCATTCGCTTGATCATTCGCGTCGTGGATAAATCGAGTCCTAATCCATTTTTGGGAGCGTTTTCAAAAATTCATTAGGGCTCTTGAGCCCTAATGAATTTTTGAAAACGCTCCCAAAAATTCATTAGGATTCGATTTATCCACGACTCGAGTCGTCATTCGTCCTCAACCATACATTGTAACTTGAATGAAGCCATGCGAGTCGAGTCTGTGTTACTGACAACTCGAGTACTAGTACACTCGTACACTATAGACAGACGTAGATCTAATCTTGGTTTTTGACATTGCGAGTGGTCGGCATTAAGGGCCGACACCACATCAGCTCAATGGAATAACATACTATTAGTAGAGCGTTTGTAACCGACCACGTCATGTCAGTGCTGACATTAGCTTATCTAGTAACTTCAATGCCGCATTAAAAAGCACTTTCCAACCATCAAAGGTGCAATAGTCCGTGCAGTTCGTAGTAGCGGCATGGGGGCATAGCAGATTTAGATATCGCACTGAAGTAGCTGTTCCATTGGGTATGACTGGCATGGGTATTTACCTCACCGAACCTTGCGTTTATACCGGTACCGTCGGTATCTCAGACACATCAACATCCAACAAAGACCCAAAAGTCAGAAGTCTCCACACTGCACACTTACTTGCACACATCCACACCATTACAGGTCAGCAAGGCACAGGTGCTCAGTTGCTAGCCCATTTCATTCATTTCAGTCGATCAGAGCCCTTCAAGAGCTGATCCTCTACCTGCCTTACAACCACTGTCCTCACTATACTATACCTACCATGACGATGAAACGATTGCCATATTCTTTCCGGCTGGTGTCATTGATGATATTACTGCTAGTACTGCTAGTAGTATGTCCATTATGTTCTGCCCAACAAGCCGAGACCAACAGTACATCCCCCCGTATGCTTCGCTATCTTCCCGCCTTGGAAGCCTACCGTACAAATCCCGAGAACTGGAATGCCTTTACGCGGTCCAATGCGACCGCTTCTACGGTGGATGTGATTGCCAACGAGTCTCCTCTGATGCTACTGCCCACCACTAGCAACAGCTTTGACTTTCAATCGATGGACGGGAAATCGATTTGTCACATGATCGAGATGAATCGATTCACGATGCAACGAGGTCCTCAGCGGCTCAACTTTCCATCCAGTTATCCTCTGGAAAGCATGGCGGCCGTGATTATGGCCATGGAACACTTGAATACTGGCAATGGCGTCGTGGTACCCGAGATTGAGGGACTCGACGAGAGATGTGGTATCAGATTTACATCCGAGTTTTGGGATACCGTCGGAATGGAAGATGTCGCCATGGGGTTGGTAGTCGATGCTATCAGTCAGCGACGTACTCCTGCACAGCAACAACCGTGTGCCTTTCAAGGAGCCTTTCGATCCTCTGTCAATATCGCCACGGCACTTTACACCAGTCTCATGGGATTCCCACAAGTCTCGACTCTGACGTATCAACCCGAATTGGCCAATCGAGACATTTATTCACTCTACGGGAGTCTCAATCCCATTAGTGCCGCACTGCCCTTCCTACAATTCATCACGCAAGTGCTCGGCATTCAACACATGGCAGTCATCTATCCCGATACGGGGTCCGGTTTGTCTTGGGCCAATCCACTCAGAGAAGCGGCAGCACGACATTACCCCGACTTTGTGCTGGAACTGGTCGGATACACCTACCGACCCGATTACGATTTCAATACCACCGTACAACTCCTCAAAGAGACCAACATTCGATACATTTACAGTGTGGCCGGTACCGTTGAATATCCACAACTCATTCAAGAAGCGTTCCAGCAGGGCATTGCCGGACCAGAGACTGGATACACTTGGATTACTTGGGTCGGGATTGCCCAACAGTTCCTCCTCAACAAAGAGTTCCTCCCGGATGACCCCATGTTCCTCGCCGCCCAAGGCATGCTCATTTTCGATTCCACCCTCCGCAGTATTCCCGGCGTCGGTCGTTACGATGCCTTTATTGAAGAGCGTGCCAAATTGGCACACAATCCCGAGGATATCGCCTACTTGCAATCCAAACTTCCCAAGAATACACCTGAAAATTACGACAATACATTCGATCCCAGCATTCTCACAGGCATTGGTCGGTTCACCGGAACTGCCGCCACTTTGTACGATGCCACTGTGGCATTGGGGTTGGGAGCCTGTGCGGCCAATACATCCACCCTATTGGATGGACCCACCCATTATCAAGGATTCCTCAATGTCTCCTTTGTGGGGGCGAGTGGATTGATTCAACTCGATCCCGTCACTGGTACTCGCGATGCCACTTCCAATCTCTATGCGCTGACCAATATGGTGCCCACACCTAGCACCGCCAGTGGTAATATGACGTACACCGAAGTCAAGACACATTACTACGATCAAGGGCAATGGGTCAAACTGGAGGAAATGGTCTTTAGCGATGGATCCAACACACCACCACCAGCCATTCCACCCATCACCGTCGATACGCATTCCATTAGCAGCGGACTCCGAGCGGTAGGACTTGTCATGGGAACACTCGCCATCTTGTCCGCTGTGGGTGGAGCCATTTGGACCATTCTGGCGCGTGAACAACGCATCGTCAAGGCATCGCAACCCATCTTTTTGCTCCTCATTTGTGCCGGAGTTCTACTCATGTCATTGGCCATTATTCCCATGAGTATCGATGACAATGTCGTCGACGATCCCGATGCCGCTTGTGCCACAATTCCCTGGTTGTTGTCGTTGGGCTGGTGTGTTACATTTTCCGCACTCTTTAGCAAGACACGACGCGTCAATATCATCTTTCACAATCCCGGGTTTCGACGGGTCAAAGTGAATGCCATTGATGTCATGATACCCATGGGCGTTTTGTTGCTCCTCAATGTCATTGTGCTGGCCATCTGGAATACGATGTCTTTGGTAGACCCAGTGAATCCGTTGGACAATGTGTCACGGATCATGTGTGGCCCTTTTTGATCCCGCTCATTGTCATTAACTTGTCGGCGTTGCTCTATGCCATGAATCAAGCGTACGCCGCTCGCAAAATCTCCACGGTAAGACAAACAAGACATGCAGGACACTATGGCTGCAACATGTTGGGCAGATTCCAGTCTCACCTTCTTGTCTCCACTGCCACCACAGGAGTTCGCCGAGAGTGACTGGATTGCACGAGCCATGAGTTTCATCATGGTGGTGTCGTTTGTCGCGTGTCCCGTGTTGGTGATTGTGGAGCAAGATATTGCGGCTGGGTACTTTGTTTCCGTGGCGCTGGTCTTTGTAGTTTGCATGTCCGTCATGGGGTTCATCTTTGTCCCCAAAATCATGGCGGGCAATCAAGCTGGCGCTTCCAAGGAAGCCATCCAAAAGACACTGAAATCCATGCACGGAAACAGCGCCGATGGCAGATCGACATTCCAAATGACAACCGTCAGTCAGATGAGTACAGACTCCGAGTACGAAGGTGCTCTCATCCTGGACCATCCCAAGAAATACGATGAGATGCGAGAGGAACTGAAACAACTGCGACTGATTCGCAAGCAATGGGAGAAGGAAAACGGGAACCGGAGCGACCAATTCCGGAACGAAGGCACCAGCACCAACCCCGAGATTGCGCCGTTGACGGAACAAGCAGTGGGAGAACAAGCATCCACTTCCCGGAGGGAAGAACAGATGGCAGGTGATGATGATTCATGCCCATCGAGCGCCTTTCAACCAGAGCCGGCCAACTTTGAATGAATCTGAGTTACCAAGGCGTGTTCGATGAGTTGGCTTGAGTTTTCTCCCACGTCCTTAATTTGCACATAGTATAGAATCCCATAACTGCATAATACCAAATAGATTCCTTACCTTTGAAGCTTGTTTGTATGTTTGTGGCACATGGGCGAGCATCTGCTTTGCAACCTGACCACATGTTTCCCAGCACTTGTGGGGCCCACCGAGCGAACTAGCCAGATACGAAATGGGAAAACGGTTAGCAAACTCCAACTGTTGCTTGTGAACTCCAGTATACCGGGGCCAACTGCCGTTAGGGTGACAACGCTGGGGGCCAGTGGCCGTGGGAATCCGGTGCTGGGACTCCCAATGGCAGGGATTGGGGATTTCTGTGCTGAGGAGGCTGACCAACAGCAGCAGTGTGAAATCCAGGGCTAGAGCCAACTAGCTATCTACTATGATTGAAGTGCTAACAAAAGTCATAGTGGGAAATCCAGTGATGGGGCGAACTGGTGTAGTGATTTCAGTGCTGGGTACAATCCTTTCCGGCCACCAATGAAGGGATTGAAGTAAGTGCAGGGGGCCAACTATAGTGCGAAATCCGGCCCCGGGCGGGGCTCACCAATGAAGGAATTCCACTTCTGGGACCCTTTTGGGAAATCCAGTGCACCAACGAAGTGGTTGCAGTGTTGGGGACAAGCCTAGTTGCAAATTCCAGTGCTTGGGTAGACTCTGTAGTGCTGGGACTAAGCTTTGTGGGATGGGAAGTGCTTTGATTGCCCATGATCGAGGAGGTCTTTTTTGTCCTGGGCTGGTGCTTAGCAATGAGGGCCGGGCGTTACCAGGGTCATACCGACCCGGCAACAACCCTCTTCACAGGCTTATTTGTAACCTCTGGCTTAGATCAAGATATCGGCTTCTCGGACACGTACAGGTACCGTCGATCGGATCTATCCTCTTCCTGTCTTCCAATCTCCCATCCTCCTTGTTGAGCTGATGCTAGTTGTTCTATTAACCGCCAGCAAGTAGGAGAGTAGAAGATGTCTTCTGGAACCAAACGCCCTGCTTCCCCGACTGCAAGCTTGGAGCCAACTTCCAAGCAGGCGAAAGTCGAAGTGGCACAGACACCAGTCTTTGAGCTGAACGTGTTGCATTGGCTCCGCAACAATACCGATCACTCTCGAAATAATAATAGGAATAGATCAACTCAGTCTCCTCCAGTTGTTGTGCAAGAACCCCAAGAAATAGCTTGCTATTCTGTGGCGTTGGACAAGATTCACTATGGCAGTCGCGAACAACTCCATCGCTATCAAAAACCTGCACTGAAGACGACTAACTTGGGCGACAAGATAGACGAGTGGATCCAATCATGCGACAATGACAAACCGTTGGTGGAAACCATTCTGGATGCCTTGACGTCGGACCAAATTGCCAATGCGGATGTCATTACCTTTCGCAACAATCTCAACAAGATTGGTGGGACCATCTTTAACCCCAAGAATGATTGGGAATTGGAATGTACTCTGCTCGATGACGACAACAACAAGACACTCTATCTCGATGTCCTTCCTGGGAATCCTCCCCAAGAACCACCCCCCAAAGACAGTTTGCAGTACAAACTGCAGTATTACGGATACCGCTTTGAATCCGTCTGTACGGGACAACAAGACGCCCCCGTCGACAATCGATACGAATTTTGCAGTGTCTTGCGTCTCAACATGGGAGACACACGGATCGTCCTGGCGGCCGAAATGGATGCCACTACTGTACGCACGAGTACTAGTACTACTAGTGTCCGTGATTATGTCGAATTGAAAACCATGCGTCCCATTCGAGGGGACCGGGATTTGCAAAGCCTGTATCGCTATCGGTATCCCAAGTATTGGCTGCAATCCTACTTGGCGGGAATCCCAACCATTGTCGTGGGAGAACGGACCGATGAAGGACAATTGGTAGATGTCCGCAGCGTTCCAGTGTCACGAATGCATGGGGAGGCATTGTCATTTTTCCGCGGAGACGACCGCAAATGTTGGAATCCCCAGACGGTGATTCGTTGGATTCATCATGTATTGGGAATGTTGAAGAGTGTCTGCTTGAAGCATCCTCATCGAACCATCCATGTTCAATACAAAGGAGAATCGAGACAGATTGTGGGATATCTGAGGGATGATGATGATGGCACGGATGTGATTGGGAAGAGACTCTTGGCAAGGCAGAAAAATGGCACTACTGGTACATCACACAAGTGAATGATGAAGGGTTCATACCTACTGTACCGGTACCTGGTACACCTTCTTTTCAGCAAGAACTTATTTGAAGCTTGCTCATTATTACCTTTCTCGAAAAAGGAACCCTACATTGCCAAAGCTCCTCCGCCTCTTGGCTGCGTGGAACCTGATCTAGCTAGCTAGAACCCGGCACTGGTACCAGGTACCAGTATTTGCTTTACTTGATGTTGCTTTGAAAGCTCTGCTGGCTTACATGGTTGAAAGTTATTGCTTTCGGACGCTTCTTATGTCTTTGGGTCTCAAAGGCGCCAAAGGGCTTGCGACATCGGAACCCCAGCGCATTGACTTTCGGGATTACGGTACGAGCAGCTTCGATTTTATTGATTCAAACGCGTGCCGGCATTTCTGGTACATTTCTACGAGAGCTCGTGTAGAAGTGTACTGAAAAGTGTGGCGCGCGTTTGAATCAATAAAATCGAAGCTGCCTGTAGCATCCGTGCCATGCTCAGAGCACAACCGTGCTCAGAGTACAACCGTGCTCAGAGTGCAAGCATTTGGGTGCTATCCACTCCTCTTTAGAAGATAAAGATGGTCTTGATCGAAGCCCTCGGAGAACGAAAGGAAGCGAGACCGGGTTGTCTTGGGAGCTTCTTCGGTGGTGGGTCCCTCCATCGGTCAAGTCCATGGGACCACCTGTGCTAGCCGAAGTCAGTACACAGTGTGTGAACCAGTCCTCCAAGCCTTGGATAGGTCATGTACGAAATCCAACATTTCCCTGGTGTGATGGTTGTACGATAACATTGGTTGTGGACAAAGTCCCGTCTTGAAGGAATGGGATGCCTACAGCAATGCGATTTTTGCACTCGACCTGCCTGAGAGCCATTTTGGTGGACATGGTGCTATCCAATGATGATGATAAGAAGACACTGCCGTGTATCTTGATGGGACATAGCTATGCTCCCACCATCCTGTTGGAACTGCTGAATCGAATCGATGTCCTCCCATTCCAGAGTTTCGACTCGAAGGCTTTATTTTTGTCAGTTTGGCCATTCGTTCCGGAGAGGATACCAAGGAAGGGTATTCTCATGGAAGATGGAGGACATGTACCGGTATGTCATCATGTGACTTCCCGTTTTCGTTTTAAATTGTCTGCAAAAGCAAATGTCGGAAAGCTTTCTTCAGTTGGCTCTGTGTGGACTGCGACCCAGCACTGTGGCAGACGTGTCGACAACAGTAAAGTAGTAGTAACCTCGGCAGTCTATCTGCCTGAGCCCCCACCCCCTTTTTTGGTATTTCCTGTTTCCTGCTTCCTGTTTCCTGTTCCGGTGAAGCCAAAATATAGGGATAGAGATAGGCACAAGCCAACTATACAAATTTAGGGGTAGGAATAAATCATGGTTATTCAAGGTTAGTGCACTCAACACAATAAGCCAGCAGAAGCTACAAAAGTTACAGGTACATACGGGAGTGACAGCTGTAAAATTATGGTTAACAGGCGGCAACTCACGACGAAGTCGGGTGTTGTCGCCAGGGCTAGCATAAATAAAAAGAAGATTATAACGAGGGAATGATACCGGGCGGCAACACACGACGAAGTCGGGTGTTGTCGCCACGGCTACCTTGAAAGAAGGGTGCAATCTCAAACATGTCATCCTTCTTCTATCTGTCTTTCTGCCGAGGTATCGCAGCTCCCGCTGACTTATTAATACAGCGACAAAATTTCCAAATATAAAGACGCGTGCGAGTCCAATCGCGCTTCCTTCCACCCCTTTGTTGTTTCAGTGGATGGCATGCTTGCCCCTCAAGCCAAGACTCTCTTACAACGCCTTGCTTCTGCTACTGCCTCCAAAACTCAATTTTCCTACTCTCAAATGATGTTCTTCATGCAGACCCGTATCTCAATTGCCCTTGTGAAAGCTACCCATTTATGTCTCCGTGGATCCCGCAAAGCCAAACCCTTTGCCCCCCGTAATGGTCCTCAATTTCTTGCCCCTGATCCCACAGAACCTAGTCCTGAATTTCGATTATTCTTTGCTTAAGCCTGGCCCCGGCTGGCTTCCGTAGATAATTTCCCTACTCTAAAATCCCCCTTGTATATGACTAGTACTTCTATAGTTTTGTACGGTACCGTTATACTGTTTCAAAAATGATTGATTTCAAGTTGAGTCCCATTTCAGCGTTGCCAGTACCGTTTCAGCGTTCCTAGTACCGTTTCAGCGTTCCCAGTACCGTTTCAGCGTTGCCAGTACCGGTTTTTTAAACTGCCATATTTTAAAAATATTAATGAATTTCAAAAACATTGTGGCGGCGAAAGCGGTAGAAGGCAGAAATCTGATTGGTTGATGAGTACCGGAGAACAATGTATATGTCAGCAATACTTAAGAGCCTAGTGACGTAATGATGACACATACCTAAGAGTTAGTGTGCTACCTAGTCGCTGATTTTCGTTTCCACCGAAAAGAAACCACGGATTCCGTGAGAGCCTGATCGATCGACAATGGCGCTCTCGCTCCCGATGCAGCCACCGCTCTCAGACAACTCAAAGGTCAAGTAGCAGCAGCAAAGAGCACCATGGAACCACCGCCACCACCAACAGCAGCTACCACTCACAATGGAGGAATGGGCTGCCAAAGTCAACAGAGGAACTCGCAACAGAAGAAAGCCTACCAACTGGCTGCCAACAACAACAACAGATCCAAGAGAGCCAGAGAAGAAGGACCACAAACAACACTGGGAGGAGAGGTAGCAGAAGTCTCTGATCCGTTGAAGAAGTGTGTCATCTGTAAGGCCAGACATCTTGGTCTCCGAATCCCAAAAAGATCACACCACGTTCTCTGTATTAAGAATACAGTAACAAGAGGAAGAGGAGATTTGAATGAGCTGACAATGGAAATCATCAGAGAGAGCAGAAGACTTACAAGGCATTTCAGTGCTCTTCTTCCACTGAATGAGAGAGGAAGCTGGAAGCACTCAACAAGAGAGAATGGGGAAGCCTTCTTTGGTCCTAGAACAAACATAGCCAAACGAAAGGAGCAGAACCAACAGCAACAACAGAAGAGGAAATCCATGGCCACTCCAGCTGCCTTTTGTAACAAAGTAACCACTCTTGTAAAGGATACTGCCTTTGTCGAAAAGCACAAGACCAAAGGAGCACCACTGGCTATGCTAGCAATGGCAGAAGCAGTGTCAGAATCCATTATCCGGCCAAGGAATCCACAACTCTTCCACCAACATTTTGAAGGACTCACCATGACTGTGCCATCCACTGAGGAGCAATTCAAGTCTCCACACTATCACTCTATTGTTGGCCAGAAACTCCTCTTCGTGGACTGGAATCGATGTGGAATTACAGTACGTTGTCCCGATGGAAGATGCTCTGGCCAACTCAAGAATGAGAGGCATAACTGGTCAAAGAACAAGACCTTGTTCCCTATCTTTGGCATCACTGGAGCTCCGTCTTGGTGCATTGTCATGTCAATGAAGTGTGACTGCTGCAACAGGAGATTCGATGCCAACAGTGCCGAAGTTTTGTGCACAATTCCACAGCATGCTGCTCTCCTCTATCCTGTGGAGTCAAAGTATGCCCTTCCCAACAAGGCTTGTCACTTGGAGAGAACTGCCACTGAGACTTTCGAATCCATCATGTTGACCTATGGCAATGGAGAACTCTGCAGCCGGCTCCTGTACAATGCAATCAACAGAGAGTTCATTAGGGCCATTATGTCCTACTTCTCCTATTGGGAGGGAAGTGACACTGATCCAGATCCCTTTCTTCAAAAGGATGGCACTTACATAAGACAATTTCCTCCTCTTGGCGACACCATCCGTGACATCTATGATGCTGCTTGTGCTTCAAACAGGAATTCATGGAGGATCAGTGACAACCAAAGGCACACAAGAGAGATCCAAGGTGTCAAGTGCAACAAAGGAATCTTCTGCCAAGAACATACCTTCCAGGTTGTCAAGAACTACAGCAAGAGTCTTGGTGCTGCTGCTGTTTGGGATGCTGCCACTGAAACAGGAGAGATTGCCTCTGCTGTTCTTGTTCCCACCACCAAGACAATCCACTTCTCCCATGCTGCCATGCAGCTAGCAAGGAGGAGCCATGTTGGAGGAAACATACCTGACACCTCTTTACTATTGACTCGTGTATTAATCATCTAGTCCGGTTCGCATGTAAATTGATCATGCAAGGAACCAAGGGAGTTTTAGGTCTAAAGTGTTGCGGGGGTCTTATATCCAATTCAATCACAAGAATTGCTATGCACCACAGAAAATCCTCACTTTTGCTTTCACTTAATCCAAAACCAAATTACTCCCCAATAAGCTCAGTTTACTAGCTAACACTGTAAAGCAAAAAGCCATGTCTGTATTGCTTCGGTACAGTATGTACCCTGGATGGTGGTTGCACCTGTTTGAGAATGTTCTAATAGGATCGAGTCGACTTGTCATAGATGGATGATTTTGCCTTGTACTCGCTCAGTCCAAAGCATCGTACTCTTCTTTGGGATCAGCAAGGATGTCTGGAGGTTTGGCTTGGTCGGCTTGGAGGTGCCTGACTTGTATGGTCTCAATGCCAATGAAGCCATTGGCACATCATTCACTCAGGCTTGATCCTTAGATCCTGGACATGTGTGTCAGGGTCTCTTCAAAAGGATAATACCTGGTTTCAGCCTGTCCATTAGGATGGAAGAGGAACTGACGCTTGGAACTCTGTTTCTGGTTCCTGTAGCTGTTGCCTCTTCTTGGTGGCTTCTTCCTGAGGAATTGAATCCCCTACCCCCCTAGAAGGGTATCTTCCTCCACCACGACCACCTCTTCCTTGGAATCTCATGGTTGCCGTTGGTGTGGTAATGCACTCTTGTGCTTGCTTGTTCTTGGAACTAGCTTGTGTTCTTGTGTGGATACTCCTGAGGAAGGATCTCACGACGGGCACTACTCTTGTAGTTGCCTGTAAAAGCTTCTTGTTGGCTGGATAGCCTTCTTTTTGGTCACTCTTGGTGCACCTGTGTGGTGGCTGGATAGCCTCTGTTGGTTCAACAGCTCACGTAATTCCAGAGGAACGTGGTTTTCTTGTGTGGAGCCTTGGGTAGTAGCGAACTGCCTCTGTCGGTCTCCTGTCTCTGCTTTCTTGCTGCAGGACCTTGTATTGATGTTAGATGAGTGCACTGAGTGAGTTACACTGGTTGAAACACCTTTTTCGTTGAGTTTCAGGTCTCCGAGTTGTTACCGGGGATCTTGTGTTTTCACGTCACAATAGCAGGGAATACTCGAATCAACTATCTCACTCAATATCGGGAGTTAGACGCTTCCAAGAGTAGCCACAGTTCTGTCGTTGTGTTGCGCAACTTCCT